GCATCATTGCTGTGCACTTGTCCGTAAAGCACACCCAGGGTCGTAAAGCATAGCGCCACCAGCTAACTTCTGATTGGTTCCTTGTCACGAGGCAGGCATCTGACCTCTTAAATGACCAAGGCAAGGTTATGGCAAGCATGTGTTACTGTCATGGCTGCCAAAATGGGGAGCTGGTCCCTTCATTTTGTTTCTGTCAAAAGCATAAAGAATATTCTGGGTGTCAAACAAAGTAAGTAGCCCAACTTGCCAGTTATTTTGTCAAAAAGGTGCACCGAGACCCAAACCAGGCTGACCACACAGGGACAGGGCATTGCTTGGATTTTAGTCTAACACAGGTGGTGACTATATCTTTTCCCTGGGGTCTGACCGCACAGCCTCTTGAGATTGGCTAATTTTTAAAGCATCATCAGAAGGGAAATGAAGGGGTGGGTGTGGGAGTGGGGGGGGAGAGGGGTCAGACAGTTAAGTGACTTAAGTTCTAAGAATGCAGCAGAGTTTTTGTCTAACCCTAAACAAAGAGGATTACACCATCTGACACACAGTCTTCACCAGGGGAAGATAAAAAGATGTGAATTCCTTTCCATAAGCAAAGATTTTACAGTGTTTAATAGAAAGCCTGATTTTTTCTATGTTTCCTATGTAGTTTAACTTATAATTTTATTGGTTGTTTAAATAACCAATAAAGGGACAGCCACTTGGGATGTAGCAAGGTCTCTGTAAGCATTTTGGCAGTGAGTAAACTCTATAGCAGTCTCACTGTCCTTCCTTCAAGGTCTCTTGCTAAACAGGGAGTGGATTGCAGGAGAGATATGGTCAGGTTCATGCATAGTCAAGTCCTCAATTAGCCTACATGGCTTTTTCCGGTTTTTCTTTTCTCTGGCTCCCAAGGACACTGCATGTTACTATATAGGCTAGGCAGGGTCGATTAAAGAGATGAGAAGTAGTAAAAAGCAGAGAATAGAAATGGATCCCATATAGTCTTATTAGAAAAAGGGTCAAATCATGGGGTACAGTGATGCCCGAGTCTGTTTTCAAGGTTCTACTCAGAGTGGTGTTTTGGTTTTCTGTTTCATTGGTTTGGTTGGGGTTGGGGACTGTTTTAGAGTTATTAGTTTGGTTGTTTTCACTCTGGCCTTGATTTACTATATAGCCAAAGATGATGTTGAACTCCATAATCATCCTGTTTCTGCTTTCTGAGTCCTGGGATTGTAGTCACAGCCTACAAGCCAGTTTTATGACACTCTGAGTATTAAACTTATATTTTGATCCCAAGGTTTAGTTTTAAATAATGGGCAAGAAGCTAAGCATGGGGCACACGCCTTTAATCACAGCACTTTGGAGACAGAGGCAGGTTTGAAGCCAACCTGGTCTACACACAGAAACCCTGACTCAAACACACACACACACACACACACACACACACACACACACACA